GCACATCTTTTCTTCTCTTGCGACTACGCTCGGGCTATCTGGTTTGTAGGCTTCCAGCCAGCCCCCCACTTCGCACTTCACTTCAACCAAACTCATTTGATGATCTGTTCCAAAAAATTTTAACAATTATGTGGTATATCTAGAAGGCTAGAAATGATAGAAGATTCAGCAACAAATCCTGGTTCTGGTCAATATGGCAAATACACAATGCAGTGGCAGCAGATATGCACACTGCCAATCTAATGACGAACAGACCACAAGGACGATCACACTCCCACAAGGACTGCAACGCACCGGGGATCAGTCTCCACCAAGCCCCAACCTACACACCACTTTAAATCAAATTGGTGTGCAGGTAATGAACGGGTTAAACGCAGGAGCACACAAGCACAACACTCAATAAGATCCCAGCTCCAACCTCATGCTAGGATCGCGCCAACAACCACACATGTTGCAAGGCACTGATCTTTCACATGCAGGAACAAGAGCACAAAATTAAACACAACAGTACCAACACCTCATGCAGCAGGGTAGGGCTCTAGGGTCACAACTCACAATCACGATACCAGCCCTACTACAGGGACCAAGATGCTTCACAGATCACGGATGCATCTACACTACCATATCGATCACCATCCACATGCAGACCAGCAGGACTAGGAGTGCTCATCATCAACACTCGGGTGCAGCCAACACAATCAGTATAGATACGAGGACGCATCCAAAATACAACATCAGTTGTTAGGCAGAGGCAGTGCCCTAGCTGTGGCATCAACAGTTGCTTCTTTGCTCAACCTAAAGAACACAAACTATCTAACTGACTATCAGTCTCTGGTATCATTCTTCAACAGCACGCAATGATTTACCCTCACCACCAGATCGGAGGATAAAAGCATTCACATAGCAGTTCATCCACACAAACAGAGGCAATCAATTCAAGATATACAAGATTGGAAGATTACTAAATCACACGGCACACTCTTTAACCAAGCAAGCGCATGCATCTATGACTTCTAATCCATCTCTGTACTCTATGTACTGTTCCAATCCGGCTCATGCCATACAATGATACGATCTCTTACAACTAAAAAGAACAAAGTGTAGATATTTTTTGGTGCGACATTTATTTTGGTTCGTCCGTCTGTCCACGTCTGCGATTCCACGACATCTTAATTACTGATTGATCGTGCCATTCTCCTTGATTGAATATTGCCGGTCATGTGATAGAGGAATCACGGCAAAATAGGAAGTAGAAAATTATTGTGCTATCCATATACACATTGTATGTTTGCATGCACCAACATACATGACAACGAGCAAAAGGAAAGAGAATTAACACATAAGGAAAGAGAATTAAGATAAAAGGAACCTCTTTACATTTCTAACAACCTTGTCAAATCTGCCTACATTTAATTACTTCCCCTCTTTGCATTTGCAAAAGGGACAGTTTTTTTCTCCTTTCATTTGGTTTCACGCTCACGTGTTCCATCGCCCTCGCTTGCTGTTTCTTGCGTGAACCATAGTTGATGTCATCTGTCTTCCATGGCTCAGCCTCCCAATCTCAAAAGAAGGTCCCTACCTCTCCCTGACTGGAGATCCTGCCTGCCAGAGGATCTCCTCGAATCCATCGGGCAGCGTCTCGCGTCAGGCCACGACACGGCGTCCTTCCGATCCGCTTGCTCCCCATGGCGCGCCGCCGTCCCGTTCGCAACCTTTGGGCCGCTCTTGCTGCTCCTGTTCGACCCCGACTCGGACCGCGTCGGCTTCTACTGCGTCCCGGAGAAGGTCTTGTCCAAGACGCTGCCCGACGTGCGCGGCAAGGTGGCGTGCGGCTCCTCGTGTGGGTGGTTGGCGCTCAAGGACGAGGCGGCGTCCGTGACGCTGCTGAATCCATTCGCCGGTGCCTGTGCCCCCCGCGTTGAGCTCCCGCCAGCAGGCGAACACGTCGCGGCGGCATCCTCATCGGAACGCGTGTCTAGGGTCCACGGGCGGTGGATCCTCCATCCAACTAACAACTATGGGGACGCGGATGCCGCAGGCAGAGCCATCAAGCTAGAAGACATGAGGGGCGTGTTCTTCCGTAAGATCGTGCTCTCGACGCCGCCTGACGCCGCCGGCCGCGAGTGCGTGGCCATGGCCATGCTTGGGTGCTCCACGGAGGTCGTGTTCTGTCGGGTTGGAGTCGACAGCGCATGGACGCTGCTCGACACCAAACTAGAGTTCTCCGTAGGGTCCATCGTCCACTGTCAAGACAAGTTCTTGACGATCGACTGCACTGGAGAAATCTCCGTCTGTAGCAGCAACGCCGGCGGCGCTACTCCAACCGTGACGCTGCTACCATCGCTGTCGCCACCTGCGAGGCTCTGCCACCGCAGCTACATGGAATCAAACGGTGAGCTGCATATTGTGGGTGCCATGGTGAGCACGTTCCACGAGACACAGAGCTTCACCTACAGCAGCACAATCTACAAGTGCAACCTCCACGACCATACGCCGGAGTGGTCCAGGGTGAGGGACATCGGTGATCAGACACTGTTCGTGTCTAAACATTTCAATGAAAGCTTCAGTGGAACAAGTGTATCCAAGTATAAGGAGAACAAAATCTACATGTCTGAGCCATTGTATGGGAATCCATACGATTTGGTCCATCGACTGGAGATTGTTGATATTGCTACCGGCGCATCCGAAGTGAAGCCCTTCCAGGAAAAGATGCAGGGTTCCGAGACTAGGTTGGATTCGACCCAATCTCTAAAAGCTCTAGAGTTTGTGAGCCTGCGACGCCGCGTACTCCGTGACTGTGTTAAATTCATAAACTTTGCTTTTTGGATTAAATATCACTTTAACATTGGTATTTAATTTAACAGTATTGTTATCTTATCGTGTGATCCGTGTATTTTTAGTATAAATTGTTAGTTATATGTAGTAACGCACGAGCACGTTACCTAGCGTACTCTAATTTGTATGTTCTTGAAATAAAATGTGGTCCTTGAAAAAAAAACTCTGGTCTACCTTGACCGAGTTTAGCATCAGTGCTAGCCGCTAGGTGCACCACGACACAAACATATATTTTGAGACCGGATTCTGATGGTTTCACATGGCCTTTTTTCCAACGTACATGAACTAAGCCTTTTAACAGATGTCTAATGTGGACCTAAATAGTATGTCTCGTATGTAATTCATTGCTCTTCCTATGTCAATAATTGCATTTAAGTGACATCAACTTTGGTTTCCCCTGCTTCAAAGTTTTGTACCAAATCCAAAAGAAGCTGAGAAACTAAACATATTTGACAACAAATTGTGAAAAGATTGCTCCGTGCTATTAAAATTCACACTTATTAGCTTCACAAAAGAAGCTTAAATACAAGGATGGCCTTCAAATATCATAGGCAATGTTTATGTTTGACTTCTGGAACTTCCATGCAAGGACGGATCTAGCACCTGGTCGGTCGGCTCAAGTCCCCAACTACCATCACCGGATGTATGGAGCCCCTCCTAAGTGATAGGATATATAGGCCAAATTGTTTCCGCTGCGTTTGAGCGGCAATGGCCCTATTCAGCCTCGGCACCGCGACATGAAACGCTGTTAACTGGATGGTGGTCTCTCGCTTTGATGACTGCGGGACATGAGTTATTCCCGAAACAAACAGGCCCATAGGGAAAACACCTATTAGCCTGAAGTGGTAACATAGTGGTCTATCGCTTTGACGACTAGGACATGAGGTTTTCACCGAGGAAAACACAGTAGCCTGAAGTGGAGCGTCGAGGAGTACGGATAGTTGGCCTAGTTAACATCGGAGTACACCATCAGAGAGTCGACAGGCCCGTTGTTGATGTGGAGACCGACCGACAGCGTCCCCTTCACATACTGTGTGTGCACAAGTGTGTATGTGTAAGTCACCCAACCCAAAGGGGTGTGAGGTGTTTCCCCAAAATTCTACACTAAACCTCATCTACAATTTTATATTTACTGTAGCTTTGGAGAGGCTAAATATAAAGAACAAGGAAGAGGAATCGCTTCTAGGATATGTTTTTAGATCCACCATATTGTCTGATTTTTAGGATTACTGTATGTTATATAAAAAAAGGTTCTCATGCTACTGACTCCAGATATAAACAAACCAAAGGACATTAGTAACATAATTAGTTCAATGAACAATAGATTGACACCAGACTAGGCCATCGTGGATTTTCCTTTTACTTCAACACAGACTGCACAGCCATAGCCATAGCCATTGGATGAGAAACGGACATTCCAAATTAGATCGTGCACTATTCATCTTCTTCCTCCCGCCCGCCACAAACCTCCGCCGCCGCCCCGGCAAGCGGCTCCTCTGCCCCGGCAAGCGGCAGCTCCTCTGCCCCGGCAAGCGGCTCCTCTGCCACGCCACCATTTGCCACGGCTGACCCAGCCAGCAGCTCCCCTTCTGCAGCCGCGCTGTCCACCACCGCTGAGTCAACTCCGCCCTCCCCTAATCCCAATCCCGTGGACTCATGGTCGACCCCTCACCCCCGCCGCCAGCACATGCCACACGGTTGTCCTACCCCACCCCCTCGATGGTTCCCCCACTGCCTCGCTCGCCACCAGCCAACCCGCCACCATCATCTATCCAGTCGATCACCCTCGGGCCCCTCCCTTTCTAAGGCATCCAGGGATCCCTGAAAACCTGATAACCTGCTGCCGCCTCATCCACTGTCACACCGGAGAGGAGGAAGACGCGAGCGCTGTCGCCTAAGCACCGCTAAATAATCAGGCAGCTGAAATGTAGGATGCGTGCAGTTATATAGGTCGGGAAAGCTGATGTAATTTACAGCAATCTTTACTATGAAAGTTCCTCGTTTCAATACAACGAAGAAAATAAATCAGCATATATTTCATATAACCAGGCAGTGACTGAAACACAAACGAAGTACTACGTATAATCCTAGGTATAGCACGATTACACAGAGTAGAATGGTAACCCTGTCACAAATATGACAATTGTCTTTCACTGTGCAACCGACTATGCCGAAGGTTGATCAGGCTGGGGAGCAGTAGAGCTGCTGCCGTTCTTGCGGGACATGCTGAAAGGCCCTGTCACCGTCCTTCCCATGAACTTCCCGGCTTTACCAAGGCCACTGCCGACAGCACCAATACCAGAACCAACGAGGCCAACGCCAGTGCCCACAAGTCCAACACCGGAACCAACTAGTGACGCGGCACCGCCAACAGCATCCATTGTGCTACCAATTACCCCAGCCTGCTTCAACCGCTTCCTCTCCTCTATGGCTTGCTTTTCCATCTCTAGGGCTTCCAGCTGCTCTTCCTTTGTAAAGGGGTGATACTTTACCTGTAATGGGTTGAAAAATAATATATTCGTACCATCAAATTGATCATGGAATTAACTCTTAATTTTTCCAGTCAAATAATATTTCTCAAGCTGGCAGTCCACGAAACTACATTTTGTTCCAACCATGACTTAAAACAATTCATTATGCCATAACATGTACCCAGTGCAACAAAGAAGCAAACTGAAGAACCAATTTTGCGAAATGAAATTAAGAGAACCAGTCAATGGCATTTTTCAGTCTATACCCAAGTTGAAAGTTCTTATGCGGTGGCCAAAACAATTGGCCTCTTGATTGGAAGTACTCCCTCTGTCTAACTATATTTATGACATCAAATAAGTATCATTAGATTTGTCATGAGATATATTTTCATAATATACTTATTTGACATCATAAACATTAATATATTTTACCTATATATTTGGTCAAACTTTAGACACTAACCAAGAATGCACCTAGAATTGCATTTTTTCTGGGACGGAAGTAGTAACTTGTACTCTAAGTTGTACTTTGACTATATATATATATATATATATATATATATATGAAGTCAACCCCCACCCCTAAATATTGGGTTTGAGGTGTTCCCTTAGTGTTATGTGAAGACAAGACATTTTAGATGGATGCAAAAGAATCAAGGATCCAAAGGTCTAAGCTAAGGAGGAGGCCCAGCCTTGGGCAATGGATGGGGCGTGAGGGACTCCTTGTCAGCCCTTGTTCCTAGGGCTAGGTTATTCCAGGTCATTTGTATTTGTAAGAAAAAGGTGCATATGTAATTTTGTCACCCTATGGGTGAGTGTAGCCAGGATTCTTTACCCATTTTTCCCTTCTTTAAGGTAATAATACACAGCTCTCCTGCGTGTTAAAAAATGGCCTGACAGAAATAGACAGAACCCTACTGTATTCAGCACAGCACCCACGCATGGACATGCCGCGTGAGTGACAGGAAGTACGAAGTAGTCAGGAGTGAGCATGAATCTGCCTGCTGCTGTTGGCTAGCGCTGGACCGCTAGTGCAGTTGAGCCCAGTGGCGGATATAAGGCTAGGGCCAGTATGGCCATGGCCCTAGGCGTGAGAAAAAACACTAGAGTAATCCCTTTGTTTTTTCCACCTAAATTTATATACTAGCATTACTTTTGTCCATTAGCATGTGATCTGGTGTTAGTGGTTCATAATATTGGCCCTAGTCGCGAAAGTTCCCTAGCTCCGCCACTGGTTGAGCCATCAAGGAACAAATTGAGCCCCCTTGTCACCATTATGATTATTGCAGGGAGGAGTGCAGAGGCTGTGGCAGACAGAGGGCAGATAGGAGGGGGGATAGCAGGAGTCATCACCAGCATGTTGTTGGGAATTAGGGCTGGGGTCAGGAGCACATGAGGCTGAGGCCTGTGGTGTTCTGTAGGAGATCCAGGCCAAACACAAGCAGTATGTAAAATGTGCACTGCCCATGAAGATCTGGATGGCTCGCTCAAAGTCATAACCTAGAGTATGCGTCACATGGATTTTTCTTAACCATATGTGAGTATGTGGCAGAATGTACTAATAGACTAAGAAATACCAAGTTGGAAAAGCAATGTTATTAGGTAAACAGAAAAGGAACATGTGCACGTAGCAAATATGTATTTCTTATTCACAAGTCCTCTAGGATCTCTAGCTTCAAGGCTATATGCTACTCAGGTTAAAGACCCACTCACCTTAAGATGTAATGTGCCTCTATCCTTGGTGTCCCTATTTTTAATTGGATCCAGTGAATGTAACAGCTTCAGAGTGACTTCTTGGGTGATCTCAGGTTCAAGAGTGTTCACTGCTAGTTTTGCCACACCCAGCCTCTTGTCTTGCTTAAGGTTGTCTTCGTCGTAAACCTGTGAAATCAACCACAAATATTGACAACAAAATAAGCCAGGTTGAATTGGTATCTCATATTGGAGCAGTGTCAAACATTAAGAATTTATACGAGAATGTCCGAATTTTGTTTTGTACAAAGGTCCAAGCCATTTCTTGAAAGTCTCAATGTACATTTTGTTTAGCAACGAAAATCGTTTGCTCCAAGCAAAGTTTATCAGACACCCACAAAATTACATCAAATGGTCAATATGCAAATGTATCACGGACAGTTAATTAGTGCCCTTTTTATTCGTCAGTTTGAACATGCTAGTAACAATACATTAGTCTAACATAATGCTGCTGGGTGAGGATTAATTAAGAACAATTTCAAGCTTAACTTAGGAATGTAAAATAGAACTGAGCCCTCAAGGTTCTCACAAATTCAAGGGCAAATCCAATTATTTCTCATCATCTGTGTAGATATTATGTTATTTTGGGTATCTGTGTAGTTCAACAGAATCCAAAACACAGCTGGGTGCTCTGAATGTCCATCTGTCTAGTACAGAAGGAATGGGCACCAAAGGTTGAAAAAACTTTATTTTAAAACAATGAACGAGCTGGGGCCAGTTTCTGGTTGGTTCTAGAATTCTTGGCAGTTCAGGGATTCCACCCCATAAATCACCTTCCAACCAATGAGCACTAACCATTCTTGAGAACTGCATAACTAACCTGATAGACAGCTGCTGGAGATTACTGAAGTATGAACTTCTAAGTAACAATACATTCTACGAATTTGATGTTCAATGAATCTATGTATAGTCTACTGATCAGTCCCTACAGATTTCAAGCTGAGCATAATTTGTTGGTTCGTAACCTCGAAAGTCACAGGGACTGGGGTCGAAGTTGTGTTCCACGGCCATGGGACGTCGTCCCAAATTGAGGATCGGGGTCGAACAGGGTCAATGTCTGTTTCTGCCTTGGTCGTCATTCCTTTGTAGCAGGAACATACCATGGATCGATGAGCGGTGTTGGAAAGCCTTAGCCACAAAAGGGAAAATGATAGATCTTCATGTTGCTGCGATGTAGGAGGCAGCCGATGTTGAAGAAGACTGCCATAAAATTGGGGAGCAGGAGCAGCCACCATAAAATTAATCTGCCTCCAACAGAACTGTGAGCAGAAAAGAGAAGAGACCATGGGGGATCGATTTTACTAGCGTCTGGTGCGCGGAGTTGGCTGAAGGTGGTAGATTTGTGGCCAGCAGGCTAGGTTGTCTGAAGGAGAGAGAAGGCGAGGAAGAAAGCTACGAGGGAGAAGGTGGCTGTGAGTGACTTGTGGGAGTAGACGTGATAGGATTAAGTGGCTAGTGGGCTGACTGGGCCAAATGGGCAAGCATATGCAGCACAGTTTAATGTTTCTTGTTTTTTTTTTTGTTTTATTACTTTGTATTGTTGTTCTCTAACTAATTATAGTTGGCATATCAAAACTCATTGACCTCCCCTTCAACCCATGTTTTTAGACACCCTCGACCCTCGATCCCGACCCGCGACCCTGTCGACCCAGATTTCTGGTGACTATGCCTCAAACACTAGAATTTATCCACACATGTCAAATAAATGGTTGGATGATTTCCATCCAAGAAAGATTAATTTGAATTCTTTGATACAGACTCAACTCAGAACATAACCATAAATTTGACTCCCTGGTATCCAATATCCAAGTTTAGTTTTGGACCCCTTGTACATGGACATCCACATCCAAAGCAAATCCAATCCAACATGATCCAAGAACAAAAAGTCCAACTGGACTTTGGATTTGCAGGATCCATTTCAATGTCTAAGTTAAATGATCCAGAAAGGGAAACAAGGCGGTCTACGATGAACTATAATCAGCCCACCACCAGAAAATTCAATTACAAAATCATTTATTTCTCAAAAGTCTCATAGGCAACTGACCTCAAACCAGGATTTTTGGCTTTGATACCATGCTAATTTTAACACACCAACAGCCTAAAGCAAAAGCTTAAGCCACTGGAGGAAAGTTGGAAATCTATTTATACTTGAGCTGTTACTAATGGCTAACACAGATGTCCCCAGCAAGGATAGGCTGCAGTTCTTGGTAAATCAGAAAGTGGATCCCGCATAGTTCAGCTTGGGACAGCCTACCTTGTTTTCCCATCTAGCCGCCCAATCCTGGCCCACTAATCCTAACTCATTGGAATATTAAACAGAATACCTTGACTCCCAGAGCCAGTGGTGAACATTTGCATCCATTGAGGGTTTTTTTTTTCTGCAAGTATATCTTGGTGAGCACAGAAGATTTTCTTTGGTCGATTACAAAGTTTGGGACAGAAGAAACTCAATTTCAGTCAAGGGCTCGCTAATATATATGGTCCTAAGCAACTCTACAAGGATCAGACTAAGACTCCTAGGATGTCATGGAGCTTTCAGCTAGGGGGCCAGGAGTCGATAGGATTAATTAGAGGGATTGGATCAATTTGAGACAGGATTAGATTGGCTTGGATATGATTTGTTCGGATTTGATTGGGCCTTCCTTAGGTAGTCAGGAATCCTCTCTATATAAAGGGAGGTGATGTGTTGAGGAAGAGGGCAATGAAGAACTAATCCCATGTACCCCTCCAAGCAGATTTTGCCCAGCTAACTTCCTGGCAATGGTCATCGTGCATAACATCTGGTATCATGAGTCAGGGATCTTTTCCCATGGGTTCTGCCGCTGATAGTCCATCACCATCATTTGACGACCCAATTGCCACCTTCGTTGAAGGTTCCCGCCCTCTCGCTGAGGAGCTGGATCGCTTGACAGTGATGTTCATTTACCTCCATGCTCAAATGGAGAAGACGGAGCATGAACACCAGGCAGCGGTGCGGCTACAGGCGGCGGCGTGAGAATTCTTGGTGAGGCACACCACAAGGACGATGCAAGCAGCAATCAACCCAGTGCCTTCAATGATCCCAGCCCTCACACAACTAGATATTGCCACCACGCCGGTCAGCGACATCACTGCCCAGACAGCCCTCACAATTCACGAAGGACGTCACAGCAGATTCCTTTACCTGATCAAAGTGCCATCCCTGCTTCCATCGGAGTTCCTTGTATGGCGCCCGAAGTTCCAATGCACACTTCCCCCTCACAGGGTCTGGGCAACCACACAACACTGGGCTGTACTGGGATGGACGTCCTGCACATGCTATGCATGGACCTGGGCTGTATATGTCCACACAAATGCATGAGCACATTTGCATTTCCATGGGATCCATGAGAAAGGGATACCGCGTACATGCATCCAGACTTGCTCAATAATATTTTACCACTTATATGAGTGGCAAATAACATGAAGCAGAGATGTAAAGGCTTCGTCCAGCGTGTATAGGTTGGCACCTGCATGTGCCTGTCGGGTTAGGTGCCAAGGGTGAGTTTGGTTCAAGCCCTCTGTTAGAGTACGTCAGGAGCCTATTGGGCCTAGGCTGGCGGCATAGCCCGTCAGTGTTAGGACTAATTAGAGATAAGGGTCGCTTGCTTAAGGGTCAAGCAAGCCTTGCTTGTAAAGTAAACCTCTCTATATAAGGAGAGATGTATCAATCTAATCAAGCAAGAATTAGAAGGAAAAACCTTCCCTCTTGCTCGGCCAAGGGCAAGGCCCCGCGGCCGGCCCTCTCTCGCCCTCGCAGCCCCAGCCGCCACATTTTTTGGGTGTGAACAGTACCCGCGGGTACTGTAGCACCGCTGTTGCAGCCTCTCCCTCAGCTCTCTCCCTCTCAATCCTAGCAGCCACATAACACCCTCGCCCAGAAAGCTCCACCAGGCAGCTGCATTCAACCCGCGTTAGAAATTGAAAGCCTGGCGCAGGTGTATTTTCCAGGCTGGGAACCAAACACGCCCCAAGTGCACACTGCCACCATGATCTCCACTGTAGCTCGAAGACGAGCTGTTTCCCAAGGGTGCGGGAGTGTTATGGGGAGTCAGCTTGGGGGCCAGGGCCCCATAGGATTAAATAGAGGGATTGGATCAATTATAGAGATGGATTAGATTTGACCAATGACATAGGTTGGATATGATTTTGTTATGTTTTAATTGGGCCTTCCATAGGTAGTCAGGAATCCTCTCTATATAAAGGGAGGTGATGTGCCAAGGAAGAAGGCGATGAAGAAGAACTAATCCCAAGTCCCCCAATACTCTAGTCTCCCTCCAAACCAACTTTGCCCGGCTATCTTCCTGGCTATTGTTATCCCCTAATGACCTACATTTCATAACATAGGATGACACATTCATGTGTTCATGTAACATAATCTAATGTAAGGGGATCTTGGTGAGTCTAGTGGATTGAAAAAGGTATTGTTTCAAAGACATTGATCTTATTCTTGCATATTTTTAAGCTCCATGGTGCACTAATCCTTTTTAATGAAGATGTTTTTTCTTTGATGCAAGGGACGTTTCCAACAGAGGAACAAGACAAAAATATATATATAGAATTACCTCAAAAATGACAGATTGGGTTTCTTTGTCTTCGACAATTAGATCAAATGTTTCATTCCATTCCGGATTCAGGTTGTCATCTATGACTTTTGTTTTGACCTTGAACATTGGCCGCACGTACAGTTTCACATAAGGGTCTGATTTACCGATCATCTCCTTATTTTTCAAAGAAGTTGCTTTTACCACAGTAACAGAAAGTCTTCCCTGAGGTTTAAGCTCCAAGTCACTAGGGAGAAAGAAAAGGTAAGCTAAGTCATCAGTGCCAAATGGGATCTGATATCAGAATGTATAAAAACATTTTTCCCAGCAACATACAGAAACAAAATTATCATTAGCCCTTCTAAGCTAGCAAGAAATACCTCTGGGATACTTAAAATCATTCATAAATTGCTAAAATAATTTGTATCTAGTTGCAATTGCAGTATTAAGTGTCTAGTTAAGGATTGACTGTATGGATCTCTTTCATAACATGATGTATGCATCCAGCACATCTCTCAAATATTAAGCAAAATAAAAATGGTGTACAAAATAGATATTGGACAAGGACAACAATAACGAAAACCTACAATTTATAAATAAAAGGACTAATCAGCAAAAGTAAGTTGAGGCTTTGTTGAGCTATCTATTTTAAACAGCTGAAGTGCACATTCTAAGATGGTAAGATAAAGAGAAAATAATATGTTAAGGAAAACCCACCTTGTATCAACATTGACACCAAGTTTAACAACATGCCTGTGTGGCCACAAGAGCATATCAGAAACAATTGAATTGACAGTGTCCTAATCACAGGGAAAAGAACCATGGTTATATTTATATATAGTTGCTGGTAGGACTAGAATGTTCAAAATACTGTCTAGTCATCATACATCAATCATGTCAGAAAGTCCAGGAACTGCAGTTAGGCTTCCTCCAATGGCCTTCAGGGTGTACTGAATTTTTGGCTCTGGCTGGAGCACAAAGAACCCAATTAAAAGAAACAAATGGGAAACGCTCTCTTGATAGTTGAAATTGCTCGACTCTGAAAGCGTACTTCATAGAACATTTCTAAAAAGTTTACATTATCAAACTCATCAACAGACATCTCAAAACATTTCAAAGAAATAGTGTTCTTTTTATCTGATTCTATATGGTTTCTGAGAGATACATGATTCAATTTTCCTAAATTGCCCCCCATCCTATTTTAATTTAGGCTACATTTTATGAGAATTAATATAGTTTTTCATTGGCCACTCGGGTTAAATATGGGTAGTTCAGGAGACAAATAAACATAATGATGTAATATTGAATTTCATGCACCAATCAGTATATGAAATAGCTAAAGCTATTCAGGAAAGGTTGACAACAATTAACTTCAACGCAAACATAGACTCAAAGTAAACCACAATTTTTTTCCATCAAAATTTGTTTGCCAAGTCTCAAATTCAGGAGCTTTGGCTCTCAAAGCATATTGACTATTGAGTTTCATTCACCAACCAGTTTTCTCAAAATCTTGATTGTTGAGGAAGGTGGGAAATATAGTTCATTTGGTGGCAAGGGATGTAAATTTTAAAAAGGCAACATGGTAAGTGTACTTAAAATATAAAACGTCAGATACGAAAAGGAGGTAGTACTGGGTACTAGATACTTGCATCAGCAAGGAGAGCCACAACAACAGCAGAAATGCAAGGGATGTCTTCAGACAGTTGAAATATAACACGTATGACAGTATAGACCTGAAGATCCTTGAGCTGCAAGATGGTTGGGTAAAAATATAAGGACTTATAATCAAGAACAGTTGCCTTCCTAAATTATCGTGTGGCAAAGAAAACCTGAATAGGCAGTGATGCAACTACAGCATCAACAGCTAGGATTATGCTTGGATCACCACCCCAGCGGAAATCTATATCCATGATGATTTGGCCTGGTTGAAGATTTTGAATACGAATACCTTCACAAATCACAACAAACAAACAAAACACATCATATTTTAAGTCATCCTTATGTAGTCCTGCATCAAGATTCAAGACGATATAAATGCAATTATAAACATAATTTATATCTGTTTGTCATAAATAATATGTAAATCATAAACTCACTTAAACATGGAAGTTGACATGTTTTATTAATTTATAAGCAATTTCAGCCAATCATTAATTCCACATAAAGTAATGGCAGTAACGACAAAAAAAAATCATGCCTTGATTTCCAAATATTTACATGTGCAAAGTCAATCTTGTGTATAATATTCAGCATTCACTGTAGAGTACGAGTAACAAACTTTGTTATTTAAGTATATTATCTCCACAGTATAACTAAATGCATGTTCGAATCTTCAATTCTAAGAGATAGTACGCACCAAAGAAGAATAAACACAAATTAATAGAACTGAACATGCAACGTATAGACAGGAAACCTTCTATCTTTGGTGACACATTTCCAAGAGAAAATTTGCTGAACTTCAAAGATTTTATTCCTGGAGGCCGGTAATCATCTAGCAGTGGTTCAACAGATTCCTTAACCAATACTGTTGCAGCCTAAAATTAAATGAAAAGTAAGCTCAGCACATATGGCTTATGAACAGTAGTGTGCTAGACAATAAGTAGGGTAGGGCACAAGATTGCAGCAAAACAGACAGCTAGGCATGTCTTAACAAAGATGGAAATGCAAACAGCTGACACTATCCATGCCTGATGGAAACTGTAGTTATAATGTACAATTCGAAATTTTATAATTGTGGGACAGCTTAACCTATCTAGAAAAGTTAGAAAGCCATATTGTACTATTAAAAAAGACTTCATTTTTCAGTGAATCTAGAAAACTAGGAATCAGATAGGTTCAGTATGAATCAATCTCTAACCCAATCACCATTGCGGCCTTTACAAATGATCGGTTAACAGTATAGATTAAAACAAATGTCATGTACATGATCATTCAGATGTCCTGATGCTCATTTTCAAGTCCAGCGAAGGTTTCACTAATCTAAGATGTGAACATTCAATACCAATAAAATGGAGACTCCAAATGCCAAAAACTTTATTTTTCATGCTCAGAATTTCTGTTCTCAACACATGGACAAAATTAATTCAAGAGGTCAGCTACGTAGAAAAATAAAACATGATCAACAAAAAAAAAAAAATAATAAGGAATATGATGAGACATACCAATTAGGAAATCAACAATATGAAACATCATACAAGGAATGAAGAACACTATAGTGGTATATCATATGGATGATTATTACTAGAAAATATTAACAATAAGCAAAGTACTTTGCAGAACTGTAACTAAGATTAAGACTCAAGTAACTTTAAACTTACTTCTACAACAAAAGGCCAAAGTTTGCTTAGATGCTTGTTCAGCCATTTAACCTGCAGCAAACAATTAAATATTAATTCGGCAGGTCCAATGAGTTACAAAATATGTTCAGAGGCAGGGTCATAATCTCTCAATTTTATGTACAGAATGTTTTGTAGAAAAGGAAAAGAACTAGTACAAACTCTTTGCACCACCAAGATATCCTATACATAGATAAAGTCAAACCAATCATCATAGTTATTTACAGTGTGAGGAAAGCTAATAGACTAATAATATCTAAAAGGGCAGACCCAGTGCCGGAGGCTCCCACATGAGTGGGGTCTGGGGAAGGAATAAACCGAGACAAGCCTTTCCCCCCGCAAAATCTGCGGAGAGGCTGCTTCGAACCCACGACCTAGTGACTCAGTGAGACAGCTCTCACCACTGCACCAGGCCTGCCCTTCTTAATAGACTAATAATATCTAAATATACAAATTCAATATTTGTTACTTTTGTAGTTCTGTGATGATTCAAGAGGTGATTCATAAAAAAATTCACCCTTCAACTTCCCCCACTTAGTGGAAAATGCCTATCTGTGTTGTGTTGGTTCACTAAAGAAATGTTCTAGTTCTTAGTAATTGACGGCCAAACCTGTGTTCAGTAGTTAAAGAGAATAAATCATGGAATAACATAAACTAATAATTAGCTTGTATCGCTCTTCCAACTTCCATGGTTACTCTCCTAAGAGTTTTGGAAAGAACCTCCCTATGAAGACAGGAAACTAGCGACGTCCGATAGGTTTACCCTTTTTATGTCTTAAATGAATTGTAAGCAATCACTTTATGAAAGGAAACATGAAGCAGATATGTTTGCTGAATGTTCAAGACCAAAGTCTTTTGATCAATCACATAATGTCATGTATACACTAAGCTGCGAAGGTGTCAAGGTTAAAACTAGGGAAGGAAAATGAAACAAAGTATACCCCTGCATATCTATCCAAAAACAAAACTTGATGGGCCAGCTTAGGCTAGCCACAAGCTTTATCCTTGCCCACTACTCCATCCATCCCACTGACAGCCTACATCCAGTAGCTGAGCGCCAAACATCCTAACCCCAAACACTGGATGCATATGGAGCCTGCATCAACTCTTCTCATCACTCTGACCGCTGGGGCTCTTAATCATGGCCAACCAGGTTGCCACTACTGTGCAGATCACACAAGTACACGACTCGTCAATGCATGCCTACCAAATGTCTGCAGTTTCATCGCCATGTTTCAGTGCTTACAGTATCACCAAAAAAATTGTTTACAAAAGTTACATGGTCAAGTACAAACTGCCAGGCCATTAATATATATGCAAAGAGCTTCTATCAGCCAAGTTCACATATCAAAAGATGCACAATAGTATTGGGAGAGGATGCTTTGGGAAGATATAAAAAGTGTTGATGGTGCAGTTATTTTCTTCCGATATAAATAAAGTTTGTAGCAGATGTAGAATAAAGTTCGTAGCAGGTGTAGAACATTTGATTTTTTTAATGAGCATACCATATTTTTCCTAATATTTCTGTGTCATCATGGATGATGCACAACTTTCATATCAACTATGCATTTTCGCTATATTATACCTTTTTGTATACCTCGGTGGATAGAATTTGGCAGTTACTATTACGCAATTAGATTTAACCCAGAATACTTGGACTCTAGTCACAAAAAAAAAAGAGTACTTGGACTCTGTGTTTCACCATTGGCTATGCTGACAGTGCCCCATCCCCATTACAGAATCACGGCACCAGTAGCTGCTGAACCTACAATGGATGTGCATCAAATTGACAGCAGCCACAAATAGCCCCAAGGTGCTCAAACCAGCCCTAGTGGCTGCTGTGCTGCAACATATTGCTACCCTAAAGCATCAATTGCACTCACCTCAAGCCCTCCAGAATTCAATATCACCTGTGATCGGGTCAACTACAAACTAAGAGCCTTAGATATCCCCCATCCACACAACCAATTTGATGTATATTTTTTAGCATTATCGATGAGTTAGCCAAGTGTCTCCACTTGTGGTAAATTAAGCAAGGGTTAGGCTGTCAAGAGACTCGCTTTGTGAGACCCCAACTTCTGTTAAGCTATGCATTCGAACAACTACAATGAACTTCCTACAATTTATCAGTTGTGGATCCAGGGGTGAGGTCACAAACACGAGACGATAGACATGAGACACCACACCAGAATGGCTGAACTGAAGGCAAGGGGTGTTGACATTTTAGTAGTGGCGGAAGTGCTGCCAACCTGCTCAAACTGCGGGAAGGATATCCACTCCGGGAAGCTATCACCGCACAGCTTCCTGAGGTCGTCCCTGGTGAGAGAGCCGAGCACCTTGATATCCGCAGCCTGCAGCAAGGAAGAGAGAGAGGCACACAACGGAACTCAAATCCCGCGAAAACCAAGCCTCACAGCTACTCCTGAACTGAACGATCCAACTCCACGGTGTAGCGAGAACGGGGACGAGGCACACACATTCCCGTCTCGTCGGCGGCGGCACAACCCTAACCAAACCAACTCACCTTAGCGATGCGCTTCGTGCTGCGCCGGCGCATGACGCGGCTCCAGCCGGCCATGATGGCGACGCCGACCATGACCCCCATCACCATGCCGGATATCAGCCCCATCCTGGCCGCCGCCGCCGCTGCCGGCCAACTTCGCTTCGCCTAGAGGACACCTCGGATCCCCCTAGCTCATGGAGCGAGCAGCGACTGAGATCTGGACGACGCGAAGAGGGGAAGGGAAAGGGGGCGGCAGGCTGCGCTTTCGTCTCGCGTGCGTTTGCGTTTCCGCTCGGTTTGTGGCTGGGAGAATGGGGAAGAGGAGGAGGGAATTGATTGCTTGGTTAGTGGGGTGGCCAGAGGAATGAGCTGTTGGCTTGCTGGAGCGGGGGAAGGAGGAACTTGACTTGGCGATCTTGAGGGGAGGAAAATGAGTTGATTAGGGTCAAAGCAGAGTCGGCAGCGGCGAAGGGGCACGGGCACGCCGTGTCGTGTCCGCGGATGGGGATCCGGGATTCCGGAAGGGCCACGTGAGCTGGATCTTTTTTTGCTTTTTGTTTTACTAGCAAACATATTAATATTAATATATAGTACTACTACTCTTCGTTTCAAATTACAAAATATTTTGGCTTTTCAAGATTATCGCTTCAACTATGTATCTAGACATAGTGTATATTTAAATGCATAGTAAAAAAAAGTTTTGTATTTACAAAAGCCAAAATATTTTATAATTTGAAAATGGAGGGAGTAGCAAATATGACCGTATGTTATACACATCGCAATACATATTAGAATCAGACTCTATATCATTGATGGAGACGTGTTATTCTAACTTGCATTAGCACGGGTCATGAATCATGATCAGGGCACGAGAATAGTTTAGAACGTAAAAAAAAAAGTTAAAAGAATTTTTTGTGTTAGAAAAACTCGTCATCTCGGATCCCCTCTCTGGTTCCCGTTCCTCCCAATAGCACGTGAAAACGTGAGAGGTTGATGGAGATAGTCCTGTTCCCTTTTCCATGAGCACACACAAAGAAACAAGACATAGAGGCACGTAGACATATGGTGGAGCCAATTCTCATTAGATTAAAATAGGTGTACAATGATCTCTTTATATGCAGAGCCTTCAGCGTATAAAAGGTAGGAGCCCGATCAATCCTTCTAACGGAGGGACTTAATCAATCCCGCTAATAGAGGATTCTTATTAGCTTGAATAGTCATGTTCTGTATTATGTTGGGACAACGAGTGTTAACCGGTAAGGACAGGACATGTTACGTTTTCGTCATTTACATGAAAAGTTCCAATGATTTAGAATTTGATGTGAGATAGTATAGTAAAGGAAGTGTTGTAGATGCGTTTACTTGCTATTTTCATGTTGAGCCGCCCTAAGCATGGTTCAAAATGCAAGCTGGTCCGTACAGCCATCGTGTTGAGATCTTACGCATAGTATGGCTCTCATGTTTATATATATTGTGCCAGTACGACCCATGGGCTACTCTAGCGGCTAGCACAGGAGTCAATATACGTTGGTCTATGTTTTTTGAAGCTTCTTTTTGACTACTGGACAACGAACTTCGTCTAGAACGGATGAAATTAGATGTGGAGAAATAGTAGTAGTAATATATAGTAATACAACATGGAAATCGATTCTACATAAAGAACAAAGCATCGTGGAAGAAAATACAGATGAGCCCCACGTAAGGATGCAAGGCGTGTTACTCGCCAACCCATAAATAGGCTAAATTTTTACGGGTTATTCACAAACTCGCAAAAAATTAGCCTATTTGCGAGTTCGTGGACAACCCCGCCTTGCATCTCTAGCCCCACGCCAATTCCACGTTTTTGGTGTATGGCATATCATCTAAGGTTTTCCTCGTGAGTTGTCCCTTTTTAAGGTAGTAGGAGTTCTTTTAAGTACTAATCGACGCTTAGCCATGGGTATGAAACACACCTAGAGTCCCCGCCGAACAACGTATGAAACATGGGTATTTTGAGGTATTTTGAGAATAAAAAAGTAGGTTGTTTCGCTCTTTGGCCCGTTTGGTTAGGCTTTTGGCTGCAACTTTTTCTTCTCAAAAGCCAAAAGCCGAAAGCCAACCAAAGAGGTTATGTCACCCACCTAAATCTAGGGGTAATTAGAGGGGGCAGAGGGGAGGAACGACCTCCCTAGGACAGGCCACTCCTAGAGAGAGGGAGGGGCGGCAAAAGCATGTTGCAGTAGACCTGGTGCGTGGTGGGCGGCATGGGCGCCGCAGTGGTGGCATGCGCAAGAGGCTGAGGAGACCCGCGGCTGAGAGAAAGGGGAGGGAGATATAATTAGGGTTTCTCCTAGATTATTCTTGCTTAATCTCAGTATCTACATCTCCTCTTATATTTATAGGGAGGACCTGACCTGACTCGACTTTAGTTTCAAGTAATCCTAACTTTTGGACTCTTTCTAATCCTAAACCTATATGGGTTTTACGGTGTGCTATACAGTACCCACATGTACTGTTCACACTGGGTCCAATTGGTTAGGCCTAGCACCTGAGAGGCCATCACGACTATTTAGGCCCATGACATCACTCCCCCATTTTCCGCTGAAAGGTCTTTAGTTTGGTTTTGGTAATTGAGTGATAAACTAGGTGGACTAATGTGTTTAAATATGAGATACACAGATAATTAGTCCACAGGTACACCTGTATGAGCAACTCATGCCATGATGGTGAATATGGCTTGGATTTGTTGCAAGGCTCACACATGTGATGAATGAGCTCATTGCATATGAGACATGACATGGAGTCATGTGACTAAGGTGGAGAAAATCAAGATAAGACTTGGCTTGATGGATTGGTTGCAAGCATGAAGGGTAAGTTGGAGGCTTTGGAGCAATGGACCGTGTGGCGGTGAAGCTTGAGCAAGACTTGGTGCCGATGGACGAAGGCAACGGTGAAAAGCAAGTGAGGTCAAGATCGATGAACCAATAAGGTCACGTGATGATATGAAGTGGATCATACCATCTGTTGATCAAGGTTGGTGCATGTGTTGCATCAACATTGGAGGAGATGGAATAGAATGTGCAGGGCAAAGTTATAATCTATAGGGCATTTTATTTCACCGGTCATAGGTGTGTAGAGAAGTTTATGACCGAGTTTAGGATAGATGGCCGTACTATCAAGAGGGACAAACTTGTTTGCATATCGGTCATCTAGTGCCACTTGAGTGATCTAACTTTGCATCATTACTAGGATCGAGTGGCATGGCAAGTTGAGTGACTAATCCTTTGGAAAATGTTTATGAAAATGCTAACACACATACACATGGTGGGGTACACTTGGTGATGTTGGCACATTTGCAATGGAGAAGACAATTGTGCTAGAGTGAATGGAGGAGAGCACACTAGCATTGCATGCACTCTAAGCCATAGAGAGGGAGTGTGTGGCTGCATGTTTGCTTTGTTGACCCCCGGACAACCATAACTTACCCTTTTCTTCTCCTTTTTCTCTCCAACTTGATCCGTTTCAACACCAACAACTTCTCCTTTGCAAATGTGCCAACACCACCAAATGATCACCATCTTGTGCATGTGTGTTAGCTTTTCATAAATGTTTTCCAAAAGATTAGTTACTCACTTCACCACGCCACCAGATCCTAGCAACGATGCAAAGTTAGATCACTCGAGTGGCACTAGATGACCGATATGCAAACAAATTTGCCCCTCTTGATAGTACGGTCATCTATCCTAAACCCGGTCATAAACTTCTCTACACACCTATGACCAGTGAAATGAAATGCCCTATGGTTATACCTTTGCCTTGCGCATTTCATTTCATCTCTCCAATATCGATGCAACACATGCACCAACATGATCACAAATGATATGATCCACTTCATATCATCACGTGACCATATTGGTTCATCGATCTTGACTTCACTTGCTCTTCACCATTGCTTCGATCAATCGGCGCCAAATCATCACTCAACTTGCCCTTCACACTTGTAACTGGTCAGTCGAGCCAAGTCTTATCTTGATCTTCTCCACCTTAGTCACATGACTTCATGTCATGTCTCATATGCAATGAGCTCCATCATCATATGTTCACCTGTGGACTAATCTCCTGTGTATTGCACTTAACCATACATTAGTCCACATTGGTTGTCACTCAATTACCAAAACCAAACAAGGACCTTTCAACCACATGAAGTGAAAGAAACGAGTGGTCGTGGTGACCGGACGCTGGGTCCAGGATGACCGGACACGTTCGGTCAAGTGACCTGAGGCGAAGGTAGCTGGCTGGCTGTGACCGAATGCTGGCTTGGCCAGGTGACTGGACGCACGCCTAACACTGTTGAAAGGTCCTAATGGCTAGAGGGGGGGTGAATAGCCTATTAAAAAATTTCTACAACAACATGAAGACAAATGATTAGTCAAAAAGACGGCGAAGCGAATTTTGCACTATCACTATACTTGGGGTTACAAGCCACCTACCCAATTCTATTTTCTATGATCTCTAGTATATCACAACAAAGCTATGTCACTAATATACACCTAGGTGATCAACCTAGTGAGAGTAATACAATTAAATGATACACTATCTAGTCTTAACTACCACTAGCTCTATCCAAGTGAATGTATAATGAAATACAAGAGAGTGGTAGAGAGGTATACCACCGTGCCAAGTGACCAATGAGTGAATACCAATGAATACCAAGGAGACAATCAAGACACAATGATTTTTTCTTCGATATTCACTTGCTTGCCGGCAAGCTAGTCCCTATTGTGGCGATTCACTCACTTGGAGGTTCACGTGCTAATTGGCATCACATGCCAAACCCTCAATAGGGTGCCGCACAACCAACACAAGATGAGAATCACACAAGCCATGAGCAATTTACTAAAGTACCTTTTGGCTCTCCGCCGGGGAATGGTTAAGAACCCCTCACAATCACCACGATCGGAGCCGAAGACAATCACTAACCTCCGCTCAACGATCCTTGCTGCTCCAAGCCATCTAGGTGGCAGCAACCACCAAGAGTAACAAGCCAAACCCGCAGCGAAACACGAATACCAAGTGTCTCTAGATGCAAACACTCAAGCAATGCACTTGGATTCTCTTCCCATCTCACAAAGATGATGAATCAATGA